TAATAATAATAATAATAATAATAATAATAATAATAAGAATAATAATAATAATAATAATAATAATAACAAGAATAATAATAGTAATAATAATAATAATAGTAATAACAATGATAATAATAGCAATAACAATGATAACAGTGATAATGATTATAATTACAATTATAATCATAATAATAATAATTTCGTCGGATAATTCTTTCCAAATGTTGCAATTACTACCTCATATCTTCCATATTTCATATCTTATCAATATTTATATCTATTAATTTCTATCTTATCATTTGACAAATTTTATCTTATCCTTCCTCAATAGGTCAATTTTATCAATAGATCAATTTTATCACTAAACTTTGCCAATTCTATTCCATCATTTCAATTACATTGCTGAGATACACAATTCCTAATCCTGTATCATCTTAATTCATCTCATTTAAACAGTACTCAACTACTTCGTTAACTAATATTATCAGATGTGAACGGATACTTATCTCTACCTTATCACATCAGTATTTATTTATCTCTATCATATCACATCAATACTTATTTATCTTTACTTTATAATGTACCTATTTATCTCCACCTTATCAATGTATCTCAATCAATCTTATTATTTTAAAAAATTTTTTTTTCAAGTACTCATTTTAAGTATATCATCATTTGATAATGATACTGCTAATATAATTCAAATGAAATCTTTTCTGTACATATATTATTAAATTCAGATAATAAATAAATAAAGTACAAATGTTAAATTAACTGAAAGTAATGAAAATTAAACTTAATGGTATAACAATGTTATCAGTGATTAGAAGAAAAGCCAAGACAGTGATAAAAAAAAAAAAAATACTGCGTGAGAAGTAATTAAGGTCACTGTTATTGTACTTATTTGGCGTTATTGTACAAAGCTATTCTGGAGGGAAGGATATGATAAGGATGATAAGGTTGATTTATTGATAAATACATATAAAAGATAAACTTCATTTGATTATTTATCTTCTGAAACAACTATCATATCTCATCTTATCATTAAATAATAGTAATGGTTTTCATTTCACAAAACAATAAAAAAAAAAAAGAAAGCTTTAGCTAATAATCAAATTGGTCTATTTCAAGTGATCGGATTATTAATCTATTTCAGCTAATTGAATTATCGATCTATTTCAATCAATTAGATTACCGATCTAGTTTAAGTGATTAGATTATCAGTCTATTTTAAATGATTGTATTATCATTGATATCGATTAAGTTTAAGTGATTAAATTATCAATCTATTTTAAATGATTGTATTATCATTAATCCCGCAAAAAAAATCCAGTAACGGACGGTTTTTTTTTTTCATTTAACAACTATTTTGTAAGTAATTTTGAAAAATTAATTAAAAATTTTATTAAAAAAAATTATTCAATAAATTTACCTATTTTTTTGCTCATTACTAAGTTCATGAGTATTATTCAAATTTTGTCTCATAGCGATAGAATGTTCAATTGCTGTCGGTCCCCACCATGATAATGTACCCGTTGTAAAGATTACTGATGTATAGGCAAGTGTTGCATAAACATAGGTTGGTCTGCAAATATAAGGTTCAAATTTGATTAGAAAAATTATTTACACATACAATAATCTTATTGTTGTAGTAAAATTTTAATGAAAATATAAAAATTTATGTTTGTGAGATTTTTTTATTTTTTTAAATTTACTTTTAATTCAATTAAAAAATTATTACTTCTTTTTTGTCATATTAACGAAAAAAAAAATTATCCTAAAACTTTTAAATTTTTTGAGCAATTTTTTTTTTTATTAAAAGAATAAACTAAATTTACATTTTACAAATTGCTTTAATATCTTCCCAATATGATGTTTTCTGCTTACTGTTAACAATAGCGCTTTCTGCTTCACCACGTTTTGGTTCCTTCATAACGACAATAATAAATAGGATACATAAAATACCTAGCATTGGTGTCACCCGAAGACCCCATTGCCAACCACCCAGTAATGATGAAACATTCGATGATACGATATAACCCAGACCACTGCAATTTTTGATTAAATTTGATAAGCTCTCCTCAAAAAAAAAAAAAAATCCAAATAAATTAATCAAATAAATTAATTAAATTAATAAATTAATCAAACTCCAAATAAATTTATTTTTTTAATCATTAAATTAATCAAACTCCAAATAAATCTATTTTTCTTTGATCAAATAAACTTATTTTTGATCATCTTTAATCATCTATGAAAAATTTCTCTTTTTACCAGGAAAAATGGATGGATTGATTTTTTTTTAAATATTAATTACATTAATTACAATTCATGTATGATTAATAATAATAATAATTTGAACAAATTTTAATTTATTAGGAATGAAAATATTAAAATGGAAAGTAAAACATTAAAAGATATATTGCATTGTTTTCAATAAATTTGAAACATTTCTTTCATTTCTCATAAATTGCATGCAAAAAAATTAATTAACCTTCCAACTGGTGTAGCAAAATAGAAAAACATTATTGCTCGACTACGTTTTGATGCTGAAAACATATCAGCAATTATTGTTGGCGCAATTGTCGCATATGATGCTTCACCAATACCAACAACACCTCGTAATAGTAGAAATAACCAAAATAGCTACAAATTTTTTCCAATAAAATCAAACAAAACAATCAATTTTCAAGCTTAATTTGATGTAAAAAAAAAAAAACGAATCAAAATTTTAAATTTCAATCAAAAATTAAAATTTGAAAATTCAAATCAAAACATGATTTTCTTTTTCGAAAAATACAAACATTAATTTACTAAAGATTAAAGATCAATGATTTTATTTACCAAAGATCAAAGATTTAAGATTAAAAATTTTATTATTAAAGAACAAAGATTTACGATTAATGATTTTATATTATTACATAAAAACTAACATTAGCAGGCACAAATGATGATGCCATAACAGCAATAATCCAAATTGCTATACCAATAATCATTATCCATTTACGATTACAACGATCACCAAGAAAACCACAAAATGGTGCAATTATCATATAAAATATAATAAATACTGTTTGCAATAAACCTGCTCCGCTATCATCAATTGCAAAAAATGTTTGAACTTGTGTTAAAACGCCTAAAATTAACAAAAAAAAAAAGATTTGTGAAAATAATAAATTTATAATTTATAAGATTATTTTGCATATTTTGAAAAATTTTAAAATTTTTACTTATAATTTAAAATTTGAAATTAAAGAACAAAGAAAAAAAATTTTACTTGTAATTTAAAAATTTACTTATAATTTTGAAATTTTACTTATAATTTAAAAATTAAAATGCTTTAATTTGAATTCTTTTTAATTTGAATTTTTACAATAATATTTTATTATTTCATTTAATATTTATCGATGAATTTTTTCATTTTTAATTCAATTATCTAAATTTAAACTGATAATCTAATCATTTCCATCAAATAGATTAAATTTAAG